AGTTCGAGAATCTCATTGCCTCTGGGGTTCTAGAATTTTACAAAATATAGATAAATAAACTAGTTTTTTTGTTAGCAAACTGCTATGCAGATTCTGCTTTGATCAATAAAATTTGCTATATCGAAAAAGCGGAACTGTGCATCAACTAAAATCTATTGTACTGCTGTAGGTCCACTTTTACCCTAGCAGCTACACCTGATGGGGTTGTTATTGGGGATTCAATGTTAATTTTATATTCATTCTGTAATAATCAACAAATATAGTAACTTCTATATGCCAGTTCTTATCACGCTAACTTACTTCTACTTGTTCCTCAAATTTCGCTTCAAAATTTTATTTTTTTAAAACTTTATAGGTCTACATACAACATAATGGGTGCGCGCTCTTGTGGTCAAGTGTCCTTGTTAGATAATCAACAACATCCTTTAAGCTTTCACAACCTCTTCTACACAGTTAAAGAACTCATTAAAAACCTGAAGGGAATTGTTAGCACTCTTAAGAAATGTGAGTTCAAATTAATATTTGTCTCGAATTTTACAAGTTATCGTAAAGCATTTACGATGTTAGGAGTATGAGAGAAAAGTTCTAATCAGATGACTCGAAAACGCAATTTTTCTTAATAAAGTATCACGCTGCAAACCTATAAATCCCACAAAACTTAACACACTCATCACTAAATTTAGTGTATTCTTTCCAGGTCCCATTAGATAAGAAGAAGAGCCTGAGCCTTAAAAAGTTAAAGTAGATGTAGTGACGTTTGGCTTTCTCCCTGTAAATGTCTCCCTATGCTAAGTGAAGTTCTTTCGGAAGTTAATCGAAAGAGGCTGTCAAAGCTTCAAAAAAATTGCCGATACCCAAAAAGGAGCAGTCGTTTAAGAGAGCGAGCTTCGAATTGTTGTTGTAATTGAACCTTTAAGTTGAAAAGGGCAAAGTTGTGAAACATTTTTTGACACCAAGTTGTTTATGCAAAAATTTTGCAAAAACAACTTGGTGTCAGATTTGCACAGGGATTAATTTAAGTGCTGCTTATTATAAAATTTACGTAGAACCTTCTACCCACTCTATCTTCCCTATCTGCTAACCAAGGGCGAACCTATAACAGTAAAACGAGGTGTAGTGTATTTATCAATACTCCGCAATGACACCATGTTAATTTTGACTAATTTCAGAAGCTCGTCTACCTGGCATTCGCAACAAGTTTGATTTCCCATGTTGTTGTCACAATAATGTTTCTCGCTTATAAACGATGGATTAGTTTTGTGCCATTGGTTATAGTGTTGTTAGCTCATTTAATTTTCTTCATTGGTATAAGACGATTCTCGCCAAAATTTGTTGTCATTTTCGTTGTGTATGAGGTTTGTTTAGTTAAAATGTGCTCTCTACGGGTATAGAAAATTACTGCTGATTTAGGCTTGTGCTATACTAGTGCTGGTTGGATGTGATATTTGCACACTAGTAGTTATGCAAATATATCCAAAGCAATTCTCAAATTTCCTGGCCAAGGATTGCGACGGAGAATATTCATGTAAGTGGATGAATTTGTCCTCATTTTGGTAAATAAGCTACATCTTCGAAGCACTATCTGGGCACGGGATTGATACTAGCCGAGAGCGCCGTAACTACTTGCGGTGCGGCCTAGATGAAAATACTGTGCACTAAGAAAGTAATACGCTCTGGTGGAGTACTCGCGATGCCCATGCGTTGGTCCTGTGTCATATAAAGCTTATCAGCGTGGAGCTTATCTGCCGGTAATTCGCGTACCAGTTCTATTGATATTCCACAATTTAGGTATTAGAAAAAAAGCAGCCACCATCGGAGGGATTTCATTGGTAGTCACTATTTTAAACATGACACTAGTGTGGCCATTCCTTAGAAATTTCATGATTTTCATGAAGAACGAGCCTCCTAAAAGGTTAGTTTCATTTATCGTCACAAATATACACGTATTTGGGTTGCGGTACCCATAAGAGTTAATTTCAGGGGTTTAAACGCTCCCGAAAGTTCAAGAGAGCAGAAAAGTCGCAAAGGATTTTTTCTGTATCGAGCACCTCCGTCGCCAAATTTTATGGATGCATCAGCTATTAATCCAAATGTGGAAAGAATGTCTCCTCGAAGTCAGAGACGCGACCAGCCGTACATTATCTCCGCACCTTTGCAGGATAAAAGCGCACTTAACACACTTAATGATGATTACAGATATGCAGGAGCAGTACCGGGCTACCGACATGACCCTGCTTTCGAAGGGTATAGAGGAGCTAAACTGCGTAGGGAAGTTCCAATACAAAACCCAATGTACCAACCAGCACCTACCCTCTATGATCGCGTACACATCGAAGAACTAGCACTATCCGACGGACCTCAACGCTTCGGAGGGCTGGATCAGAGTAGACCCATGTGGGAAAGAGATTTGTATCCAAGAGCTACATCAGACCCTTGTGCCAATGGCAAGATTGGGGGTTACGATTTGAAATTTTCCAGAGATGTGATCAGAGAAGAAACCAGAGATGATGATAACTTCAGGAAACATGATCGCGAGAGCCCCAGCTATACCAGACCTTCAAAATATGCTCGTGAACGTCGCAATACCCTTGATTACATACAAGACAGACT